TATATATATATATATATATATATATATATATATATATATATATATATATATATATACGCTCTTCTATTCTTTTAGTTGGTGTTCGACACGGGCCGTTCAGCGATAGTGTAGACGGTTACAATGCTTAAACCTGTCAGCAGCCGTCGCAGTCACTTACTGGGGGTTGTTGTATCGTGTAAGAATTTGTTTGAGGCTGTTTTAATTGGGGTAGTAATTCTGTTTACAAAAGTTCAACATATACTTCACATCTGTGTGTTGCGTTCCATTACTCCGTCGTGTGAGGGCGTGAACACGTTACGTCTCCGTAATTAGACTTAAAGGACGGTAGTCGTCGCGCCGCGTATGTGCGACATTTGTGTCGATAAACATTGCGTTTCCCACAATCCAATGCGCTTTTCTAATGAAATCACGAGTACGAGGTTTGCCCTTGGCGATTTTTCCGATACCTTCCAAACACCAAAGCAAAATACTTGATTAAGGTAGAAGCCTACTCATAAATTTAGAAACCCAGAATTTATTCAGTTTGCAAAAAAATGTACTCCAAGGTAATATAAGGATATTGACCTAAAACAAGTTGGGGGTCACCAGCCTTTTTTTCGAGAAATATATGTGCATTCGCATAGTCAATAGCGCAAAAATTACAAGATTGCTTCTTGCGCGAAATTGAACTTGAAGTGCGCCACTGCGCATCTTCCGCTGGCTTTGCAAATTTATCAATCGTCCACAGAAGACATGCGCATGGTACATGACTGGTGAATTCTAATTATAGTATTATATCGTATCTCCTTCAATTGTCAAAATGGAGGGGGGGCAATTTTATATACATCACAGTAATTTGTAACGCAAATGATTCTTTATAAAACGTGGACATTATGTTATTCCGTGTACTTTGGAACTGTACTAGACAAGTATATGATTTACTGTCTGACTTTTATAACAGTCTCATTTAAAGTGCACTCTACTGTGACGAGTGACTGCACCTTCGGTATGGGGTCAAACACACGGCCTTGGCGATCTGAGTACTTGGTTAGTTACCGAAGTCTAGAAAAAAACATTGCTTACAAACGATAAACAAAAATCAAAAAAATTGCTGTTCCTACTATTTATGCATTTGTACCAACCCAACTACGAAATATCCCCGGCCTGTTAGAATTCGGCATGCTAAGATCGTCCAGTTTATGTGAGTCAAAATGTCGGTTCACGCAAGGTACTGCCTTGCAATGTAATATAACCTCCCCTACCTTCCAGAACAGTCAAAAATGTGAAAACAGATACCCCTGCCACAACATTGTATACCCCAACAAACTCCAGATACAAAACAAAATAGAGATCCCTTTCAAGTCATTGTCATGTTGCTTAGTACGAGCATCCCCGCCGTGACCAAATAGCTATTTTGCTAATAGACTTGATCACAAACTTAAGAAGATGATTGTTTTCAACTAACCACTGCAGACTAAAATGTAGACGACATCTTGTTTTGTGGCTATAAAACGAACACCATTTGATAGTAACACTTCTACCAACAATCAGTGGTGTGACTGGTGACATTAAGGGCCAAACATTTGAGATCATGGGGGGGACTGGAAGAGATTGACCCTTGCAAATGTTTTGCGGTATCTTTTCTGAACATTAATTTTTGTCCTATATTTGCCAATGTGTTCCCACCATGCACCACTATGCATGCATGTTTTCTCTCTCGGCGTCTACTTGCACACACAAAAACTTTCACCCCCATCATTTGAAATGGTCGATCCCTTACATCAGCACAGATATGACTAGAAAAGTTGCCCGCTAATAAATGACCGCTGACAAAATTCAAATTACATACTAGAGAAACCAACAACCCCAACCCGGTAAGTAACCCGGCGTATTTTTCACTTCAATAAAAATCGCTATGGTAACAGTCTATCTATCGTACCAGAATGACAATCAACTGTTGTTGAATGCTATTCCGGTTACACAATCTATTTAATGCATCTAACCACGATGAAATCACGAAAACCAAGGGTGAGAGTGTGTCTCTGATTGGCTGAGTGTACTCGCACCATCTTCTCACCTGACATGCGTTCCTATGAATTGCGCATGCGCAGATGTGTAATTATGGATGCATGAGGTCATAGGCCGCTTTGAGTCAGTCACGTTATTTATGTTCCGATAGTAAGTAGTGAGTGTGATCTGCAGACGTCGTTCTTGTGGTCATCGGGTAAACATCGATCCAGGTAAGTTTAAGCCATTA